TTTGTGACAACAGCTGAGTCATTGCGAAATGGAAATTGATCACTTGCATTCTAGTCCCTAGGATGATCGAATGTTGATCAGAACGACGTGTATACAGAAAATCAGCCTCTTACAGGATAAAAAATCTGAATTTGGCATACTAAAATTTCGAAGTGTTAAAAGGACACCAGTCATAATTATCTATCAAGGTTATTTCCATCGACAAACTTTTTCGTAGAGAGTAACAACAATAATATTCTCAAAGTTATTATTATTATTTCTCCCTTGGGTTCCTAGTAGAACATATAGCTTCAGTAGCACACCTCCACTGCACTCTGTTCTCTGAAATATTTTCATCCTGGCTCCACGACTGCCCACAAGCTCTCATTTCTTCCTCACACCATCTAATCCATGCAACCCTAGGCTAAAACACCCAACTCATCGTTTCCCTTCTGGGTTCCACTCGAGTGTCTGGCCTGCAGCATGATGTCTACAGTCGACCTTCTCTGTGTAGATTCAATCCATCTCCACTTACTTCAACTGCATATTTGTTGAGTGATAGGTTCTTAGTTGGTTCGTTGCCAGCCAGCCAGCCAGCCAGTCAGAGTTCCTTGTTGCTTATTCTTATTATTCTGGCCATCTGAGCTTCAGTAACGAGTCAGCGTAGGCACTCGTTGATGAATGTCTGTAGTTTGTTGGGAATGCCTTTCGTAACGCGCCAAGTCTCTCAACCATATAGAAGCACTGACTTGACTTTACACTGGTGTTGAAAATCAGTATGTTGTTCCTGCTTTATGCTGAGTGCAGAAGATCTCCACACTGATTGGTTTCAGGTTAACGAACTCCTGTCTTGTTGTCTTTCCGATACTGATTTCGATGTCATCATCTGTGCCGGCTGTAGTTGAGACAGTGTTGCTCAGATAGGTGATAGAGGCTATTTCTGTAAGGTTCCTCCCGTTGATGGTGATAGGAGCTTGTTGTTGTTGTTGTTGTTGTTGGTGGTGGTGATGGTATTTGTTGAGTATCTTAACCATCACTGTCTTCTCTATATTCACTTGAAGTCTCATCTTCGCCGCCCTGCTTCTTCTGTCAACTTGTTAGTTCCTGCTTGTTGATCTTCAAGTTTGTGTGACAGGACATAAGACACAAGTCATTGGCGAAGTCCAAATCTTCTAGGCTCTTTTCTCGGTCCAGCCTAATGAACGTGAAGTGAGAGTTTAGTCCGTGGTACTATTCAAAGCAGCGATCTTTTTGAAATGAATGTTACCTGGTCGCTGACAAACTGATTAATATGGCTTCCACTTCACGAAATGCAAACCAAAACATAGAACAGAATTAGAAAAGAAGACTAGTGTACATAGATTGGTCACTAGTGGATACCCGAATTCATATTGTCTCGTCCTAAGTAATGATTTAATTTGTTCTGTGATTTTCAATGTGGCTATCAAGTTAGTTGACTCAGTATCGTGATTCGCTTTGATGGATGTTAGTTGACTGCAGCACTGTTTGACGCGGGTTCTAATCTCTGGTAGGACATTTGTTCTCTAAAGGTTGTAGATACTTCTTGTTGACAAGTGCCAAAAAAAGCCGAAACCTGGGTCCTGGACCTCCTGCTGATTGCATCCATCCGAGAAAGGCTAATGTATCAATATAGTAGCTAAAAAAACTTCAAAGCACAAATGAATAGAGAAAAAATTTATTCCACTCTGGAATTGGAGAAACGAAATGACGCCGGCAGGTCAAAGCCTTCAAGAAGCCAATTGGCAGATACGTCTTCGCCTCTCGCGATCAAAGCAAAAGCAAACATGGGGACATGGAATGTCCACACAGTAATGCTTGAACCTAGCAAGGCTGCCCAGATTGCTAACGAGATGAGAAGATGTAGCATTGAAGTGCTTGGAATCTGAGAAAGCAGGTGGAATGGGAGTGGACTCTCCAAACTGTCAACTGGAGAATCAATAATTTACTTCAATATTGTCATCCAGATGACAACCATGAACACACTGAGTTTTCCATTCGAATATCATGATATCCCCGAGAGCATTGAAGGCTCTGTCATGCAGTGGGAACCAATCTCCTGCTGCAGGATCAGGATCATGACAGCCAGATTCAACTTAAAAGGAAGAAAAGTCACAATCATACAATGCTACGTACCTTCAAATAATGCAGATCAAGAGAAGGAGGAATTCAACAGACAACTGTAGTTAGTAATGGAGAAAACCCTACCTCAGTTGGTTACGGCAAAATTCTAATGGGTGGGGTGATATGAATGCCAAACTGGGAGTAGACAACAAGGAAGAGAACTCATAATGGGTCGGGAGGCACCTGATGAAATGACCGAGAATGGAGAATTGTTCGCAGACTTCTGGACATTTGATGATTTGGAGTCTTTGAAAAGGCCTTCCGTAGCTCCGACCAAGGAGTTATTTGGCAACAACTGTGACACTACTGTGTTCCAACATTTTCCATCAACCCCCTTCAAGAGCTGCATGCTATTTGATACTACATGCCAAGTGATTCACAATGAAAACCTCAGTGATGCCTTTGTAGTTAAGGCAGGGGACAGGAACAAGACAAGGTTGGCACCTACTATCACCGATGAGCTTCCTGATTGTGGCTGACTCGACTCGATTCGACTGGATAATGCAACAAATTGTTAGGAGCGAGAAGACGGTCATACTCTGTTTGACTGATGAAAAGACCCCAGAGGAAGATTTGGATATCGCCGATGCTTTATGCCTAATGTCTTATAAACTCGAAGATCTACAGATGAAAACTAACAAGTTGACGGATGAGACGGCCATGATGGGAATTCATGTGAATGTAGAGAAGTCAGAGGTGATGAAGATACCCAACCAACCAACAACAAGCACCAGTCACCATCAACGAGAGGAATCTGAAGAGTTGTCTTCTTCATCTACATATCTAGGCAGCATCTTTTCAACTACAGGCGGGGGCACAGATGCGAATGTCAAAGCCAATATCAGAAAGACATCAAGGCAGGCCTTCATTAATCTGAAATAAATCAGTGTGAAGATAAAATGCACTGTACTGCACTCAGCATAGGGCGTGTACAAGATCCGGACTTTCAATACTAACTTCAAGTCAGTGCTTCTATGTGATGGTTCAGAAACTTGGCGAGTTACGTAAAGCATTTCCAACAAACTACACATATTCATCAACAGCTGCCTACGCTGGCTCGATACTGGAGATCAGATGGTCAGAATAATCAGAATGAGCAACAAGGACATGTGGGCGGTTGGGAACGAACCAACCAAGTTCTTATCGCTGGAAATGTATAGAGAAGAAGAAAGTGGAGCTGGATTGGATTGGATACACACTGAGAAGGCCGTTTGATATCATTTCCCCCCCCCCCCAGGTCTCCAAGTTGAACCCAAATGGGAATCGACGAGTTGGGCGTCCGAGGGTGATATGGAAGAGATCGTGTGAGGAAGAAATGAAAGCTTCTGGACAATTGTGGAGCCAGGTTTAAAAGACTACAGAGAACAGAGTGAAGTAGCCACGTGCTGTTGAAGCCCTGTGTTCGACTAGGAACCGAAGGGACTAATAATAGTAATTATTATTATTATTATTATTAATATTATTATTATAAGGTGTGGGATAGACTCTACTGACATTTACAGCATCACATTGCCTCACTCTATATATGCACACTCTTCAGTCAGTGCATGAATTCGAGTAAAGGATAGATTTGTTTTTATAGAATGTGAAATGTAGAATGACAACAAACTCCACACTAGTTTATTTATTTAATCCAGAACAAAGTGTTACGGTATTATTTACGGTATGATGTTTGGAACAGAATGTATTGTTTATATTCAAATCAAATCAACCATACAACTTTCAAACTTCACTTATATATAATGCAGTGGTTCTTCAATCTTTCGTTTCAGTGATATCAAAATCTTCAACATATCTGCAATGTGTAACTATGAATCACTTCTCTTACATGTGTTAGGTGTTGATTCAATGAACAAGGATTCTGTAGTCACTGTTACCGTCGACCTAACTATGTTCAACATGACTGCATGTCAGTTCATATAGAGTGATAGACGAGTTTTTCTTTTCATTGTTCATCATTCACTAAATTTTTGTTTTCTGGTTTCTTGACCAATCCTGATCAGCTGGTTTGAAGTATATACTTGACCTTGAAATTATTAGATGTTAGTTAATTTAACAGATAAGGTTATTTTCCTTGGTTGTCTGTACTAGATATTTTAGTCAAGAAAGTTTCCCTCTAAGTGAGTTAGTGGGTTTAAATGACACCCTAAATTTATGTATTGTTACGAATCCTACGTAAAATTTCTGATGTACCATATTGATACAGTAACATTGCAGAGGATTTGAATTCCTCCTTTGATCTGTTGTAATTCTCATCAATATTGTCACTGCTTCTCCTATGAGTCTTTATAAACTTTAAAAGAAAATCTGGTGAGTAGGTGTTTAGAAGCAGTGTCTATTCAATACATTTCAGTTCCCAGTTATCCTACATAGAGTTTGACAGTAGACAGGTATGTCACTGATAAGAATGATTAGTTGTTTAATAAGCTTTCAGATGTCTGTACTTGTTCATTCTTGTAATCAGCAAACTACTTTCTTGCCCACCTTGTCCTCAGATTTCTTCATGCACCATTAGCAGTACCAGATGAACAATATCAGTGAAGTACTGTAAGATCATATAATTGTGTTGTATACACTCTGAAAAATAAGCTACTATGTACGACAGCCTTTCAGTGCTGATAGCTGTCATATTCTCTAGTAAGTTGAAGTGTTTCGACATCTTGTGATGACTCATAGTGTACAGAAGACACAAATGCCGATATAACCTCAACTGAGGTACAAACCTACCTACCAGTCAAAACTTGGAAAACATACTGCAGACTGTAACAGCAGAATGAAACTTTTACTTTTGTTCATGTTATAAGCCACAAATAGATATTTGCATGTAGTGGTCAATACGAAAAAGTCAAAAACATCCTCTAAAATGTAAACGGACTTACATTCAGTAGTTGTTAACTCTTTGACAGCTGGATCTCTGTACAACTCCTCGTCAATTTTACGGTTCTTGTTATGCTGACTGACTGACTTTTCTTTACTTAAAAAATGGTAACTGCCTTCAAATCCTCGTGCACCGAAACTTTTATCATGTGTTTGCAGTGTAAGCATAACAAATAGTCCATCTGAGACAACTTCAGCTTCCTTTTCATAGCCACATAAGAATAATAAACGTTTACCTAGTGTATAGACAGGTGGTGTTTTGGCAATGTTGTTTAACTGGATACCAGAATACGAGTCAGTTAATGGGGTAGTGATTTCATGAAAATGAACTGTATCACGTTGTGGGCTGGAATGACAACTGTAAAGAATTTAGAAAGAATTAAGTCGGTTTACTGGTTGTTTACATTGAATTTATAATTATTACCACATGCATGGAAGATAACAATAAATATCCACAGATACTGGGTGATGATTGGAAGTGAAAGGAAAATTTAGACCGTGGCTGGAGTGGAACCAGCGACCAGCTCTGCCAACTGAGCTACTAGGCTAGACTGCTGACCAGACTTTTCTATCATTTTAATCACTAAACCATGGCTATTACAAAAAGTGAAAATGATAATCAATATAATGCTTTCCCTCTATAATCCAGTTAGATCTGGAAAGAGGTGAGAAGTCGTAACTGGGCAGCACGATGTGCTGACCACAGTATGCTCCAACACTGAAATGACAGAAGAAAGTGAAATCTAATTTACCCAAGTCAGAGAGAAAAGCTCTCAGGAACCTTCAAAATGATAACAATATAGTAATTGCCAAATCGGGTAAAGGCAACTCAGTAGATGTGATGAACAAATCTGACTACATCTGCAAAATGAACGAGCATATAGAAACAGGACCATATGAGGAAATTAAGAAGACAGTGGATACTATTATGAATAAGGTCAAGAAATCGACAGGGGATCTGATACGCCGGATGAAGTCATTTCTAGGTAAGTCAGAGTGGTTTAATTTAATGCCGAAAACTAATAATCCCAGTAGAATGTATGGTACTGTTAAGATTCATAAGTCAGGTTATCGCATCAGGCCTGCAGTAGATTTTAGAAACACTCCGACTTACGAGTTCTCTAAATATTTAGCAATAGTGGTAGGCCCAATAAGAAATCACTCAAAGTCTCGACCTACCATCTTTTATGACTTAAAGCATAGATTAGACGACATACATTTAGACAACAGTCAAAAAATGGTCAGTTTTGACATAACTAGGCATTACACAAATATAGCGATCGATATAGCTCTAGAGGCATTTAGAAATGGGCTTAAGGATGACAAAGAACTTACGTATCGAACTAAGGAAATCATACTAGGAGCATGGTTGTGCCTAACACTTACAGTTTTTAAGTTTCAAAATAAAATATATAAGCAAACTAAAGGTGTTGCCGTGGGATCACCAATATCCCCTATCGTCGCAGACATATTTATGGATAGTTGGGAACAGGTAGCCCTTCAAACATTTAGTCCTACTCCACAGATATGGTTCCAATATGTAGATGTTGCGTTTACAGTACTGAAATCGGAACACATCAACAGGTTCTTGGCACATATGAATTCAGTAGTGAATGCATACCGATTTACCTGTGACTTAGACAGTGTAGAAGGTGAGCTAGCAATGTTGGATTGCAAGATTAAACGAACACAAGAAGGAAATCTAGAGACTAGTGTCTATAGGAAACCTACCCATTCGAATCACTACTTAGACTTCGAATCATCCCACCCCATTTCAGCTAAAGTAGGCCAAGTTAGATGCTTAAGTGATAGAGCAAAAAAGCTTACTAGTAGATAGGAAAATCTGCGACAAGAAATTAGACACATCAAGAATACCCTATGTCTCAATAATTACCCATCAAAATTTATAAATAAATTCATAAGAAATCGAAAGAAAAATATAAGCAGTGGTAGTAGTAGTAATACAGATGTTATTAATAATAATCCTACTACTAATGGTAATAATGGTGACAGGGTTAAGAGAGAATTCAAAGCCTCTGCTGTGTTACCATTCAAGGAAGGCATCTCGGAAGCTTTACGACGAAATCTCAATAAGGCTGGGATTAAAGTGGCATTCAAACCAACAAACTCACTTAGAAACAAGCTTTGTAGGTTAAGAGATCCTATCGATGCAATTAAGCAAAATAATCTGGCTTACCAAATCCCTTACGATGATTGCGAGGTCAAATACATAGGTCGAAGTAGTCGATCAGGGTCGATTAGAATAATAGAGCATAAAAACTTGGCTGAATCAAGATTAGTGAATCCTAATAAGATAAGAAGTCTAGAGAAAAGCTCGGTTGTAGCTCTGCATGCGATGACACACAATCACATTGTAGGGCGGGATAGAGCGACACTGTTGAACACTAACTTAGTTTGGTGATGGGAGAGGTTGGTAACCGAATCTTTGTTTATCGAATCAACACCAAATACACGTAGTAATAGCAACGATTCTGCACCTGTCCTACGTATATGGAAAATTCTACTACCCTTGTCATCACAGAGGAGAGAAAATTTGTAATATCTAAAGACTGTCTCGAAGTTGTGGAGTTATCTGATATGAATATGGACAATAAGTAGTGTCCGAAACGTTATCCAATAAATGCTACTGTTTCACTGTGTCATTTTTCTAATAAACAGACTAAAATGGAAACTGGCACTCATTCACTTGAAAATGAGGAACGAGGTTCAGATGAAATTGCATCATAGCAAGATTTAAACCAAAGGCTGCCATGAAATCGATTCAACATTTAGCGAAATAGGTTGCTGTATCTAACGACTAGCACGGCAGATGTTTTTAGAAGTTGACTATGACGATTCGTATGGAGATCATTTTTGTCGTCAATTGTGAAGGCATATGCTTTCGTCAGAAGCTCAGTCATCAATACTCAAAGGAGAAGCTTCAGATTTGGGTCATATCAATTTAAAGTTGGTATTCATCATGAACTGATATCATTTGAAGGAACATTGGAAACCTGGGAGCACTGGAAAACTGTTTCGTCCGAACACGGGACTCCTAAGCAGTCCGCACCCATGACTTCACCCCTACCCCAACAAGGATCGAACCCAGGGCTTTCATGTCCAATGGTCAGCACGTTACCTTAGGTCTGAAGTTCCAATGAGAAGTCGTGACCCATGGAACAAACCTAATGGCCATGAGAACAAATAATCAACGATGTTGTGAACTGACAGAAGTAACACTGTATTCTAACCTGGTGGCTCAATAGTTAAGTGCTGGCCGTAAGACATGTAGGCATCAGTTTGCTTGCTCTTGTAGAGTCAAGTCAATCAGCCCTAACATGCGACAACTTATGAAATGCACTCGTAAAAGATGTCCATTCTGTTTGACAGGGAGAGAACAGAAGTGCATCTTCGACCCTGTGACAAAAATCTGGCAACGTTTGGTAGGTTCTTCAAGATTCTATAGAAAATGCAACTAAACCACCGGAAAGGAGCACGGTTAAGACATCTAGACATAGCTAAAGCATTGGCAGTTCAAAGTTCACACTCTCATTAAGGGTTCAAAAGAAGAGCGTAGGAGCTATGTACTTGATGTGGCCATAGGAAAAGATAGATAACTCTAGTTGATTTTCATGTAATCTTATTTTATTTGGTAAGCATTTTTGTTTCCCCAATAAGTAACTTTTGTTTTCTGATGCAGTGTATTCCTAGTTGGACTGGGAATGATCCAGAAATGTCAATCGTTTGTAATATGTATTTACGAACGTGCCGCTAGGGGAATGTGTTTACCGAGAAAAAATGTTTTCTTCGCTGCAGTCATCTCTTCTTTTTTGTTGTGACTCGCAAGTTCTACAGTGACTTAAATGGAAAGGCTTGCAGGGTTAGCAAGGTAAATGTGTGGTAGGTGATAGACTAACAGTCTAGAATTTATCATTTGATTTGAGAAGATCGCATGGAATCCCTATTTGACCTAGATTTCGCGCTTATTGGCACTCGTCAGCAGGGTTTATCCGCAACCCCGTAAGAGGTGGTGACTCCTCTGAGATTCAGATCCACATCATCAACACAAAACCTTCATCCAGGGCTTTCTGTCAATCACTTCCAACCCATTGACACTGCCGTGCTGAGCCTACTTACCTGTTGGCAACATTCCAAAACGATTCAGAGAATTCGATCAGCTGCCAGGGCCGTGCAGCATGAAACTGGTTGCTCTCCAAGGGTCAGTCAATGCGAGCAGAATATCTTTCAGCCTTATTCTTCGATTGCAACTTGCAAGTGTAGAATTCGCCTTGCTTTTCAGGAATATATGTGCACTTTGAGTAGGTCTTAGTTAATGCTTACTTGGAATCTTGTATATATGCAGGTCTTCAAATTTAGTTGCACTCAGTCTTGGGGAAGATTCACCATCTTAGAAAAGCCAACGAGTTTCAGTCATGAGGCTAGAATTACTGCTATATGCATAAATGAAGCAGCTAATCTTGACCTTTACCTGCTTTGATTTGGTTTAACTTTGTAAGTATGTAATCTGCTTATGTGTACTGTCTTCATCTATGAAATTGAAAATGTGTATATTGTTCCTTAACTTATCTAAAAAGAAGAAAATGCAGTTAATTCATGTTCAGACAACACGTAGCAGTCTGTATATTCCCTGGAAGATAGATAGAGGCTACTGGCAGTGTATTTTCTCCTTTTTCGTTAACTAAAGAATCTAACTGTTGCATAGGGAAAAACGTCAAATCAAGGTCTCATGCATACTATTTAATATGGAAAAGAAAGTTAACTGTTAGCTTTTCAAACTCAGGAACATTTTACGATGTATAGCGAAATGTAGTTTAAGATTTATGGAGGTTTCATTTTTAAGGCCATATTGATCATGGACTGATGTCAGAATCTGGAAGCACTGAACAGCTGGTTTTTACCAGTATGGGACAACTCATCAGTATGCACCCATGATCCCAACAGTAACCAAACCCTTCGCCTTTAAGTCTCACGGCGAACAAATCAGCTATTTAGCCACTGGGTCTGTGTTAAGTGGTTCATAATATCCTACTTTTGTCAGTTGTCAGCGTAAATATTCACCAAAGTGGTCAGTTAACAGTTGCTTCCCTTCTGACTAGTTGACCCTACAGGTCACAGCCTCTCATTAGGAATTCAGGATATCCATCTCTAAACATGTCAGTAATCAGCATTGTACGGTAATGTAGTTTGAATTTTATGGGGCTATTATTTATCTCAAGTTTTTATTTACCATGAACTGAGATCACTTTGGGGAGCCCTTCAAAACGTTGGAGCAGTGTTATATTGTTGCAACGGTACACTCAACGCATTCATCACCTATGGGTGAACCTTTGAGGAGTCCCATACTAGGACGAAACGGCTGTCCAGGGATCCAGGGTTTTCACAAGAAGTTCAACTGATGTCATTCCATGATGAATACAACTTTATAAATATATTGAAATGTTCAGAAATAATAGTTGGCAAAACTTCACACCACATTTCAATTTTTCCGTTGTCCTAACAATATTGTCATAGTAACAGTACAAATTATTGCTGTACAAACAAATCAACCGTAAGCATTTAAGCATTAACATAACAGTGAATGACAAAGTAGCTTACAATTTCAAATGGGAATGAATTTTTAATTCATATTTGATAAGCTTTTGTTTTATAACTATACAATTTCCTCTCATCATACCTAATATTCTTCTTTCCACATCATTGAAACACCGATTCATTCATTATTGTGTCGAATAGCATGGAATTAATTGAGTAAAGTGAGATCCATAGATAACACCTACGATATAACCATCAATCTGAAAGATTTAATATCCCTATCTATTTTATTTAGTACAAGATGTCTGGGAACAACTCTGATAAGGGCAGGTGGAGTTCCACACAACCCAACTACAGTACTAAGTGATATGAGTGTCACTATTTTAGATAACATGAACCTGATGTTGATACGCCGTACTCATGCGTGACAGGAAATCTGAAACCAGTAGGAAAAGGAGCTCTCATTGACTATTTTCATGTGACTACCATTGGTTATCATACTCATTGGTTGACTATAATCATTATCCTCCTGTTTGGGAATCGTCACTTAGATGCATCTATACCCCAGTAAGAGATATTTTTCCCATCAAGACTTGGACCAACGATGAATTGCCTTATACATCAGAGCTTTATCCACCAAGTCAACCTGAAACTATAGTCAGTGTCCATACAACGGCCGATATACCAATAAAAGCTGATCAATTCGGTTCAGTCAACGATGGTAAATTATAAGCAATAACATCAAGTTTCCCTACAGTGGAAAGTCAACATTGATATTGATCAAATCTACATTAAAGATCTCTGCAGTATGACTTCAGTATATAGAATGAATTAACTCTGACTAAGAACCGAATTTTTTCCACAACCGAGTACTAAAATTATTGGTCTCTAAAAAATTCACTGTTTCAAATGAGAAGTAGAGAAATAGTTTAGATTGAGGTCGAATGTGACACTTCATTTTAATACTAAACTGTGTTCTTCTCAGCATGTTCAACAGTAATGAAAATTAGAGCAGGAATGTTATATGATGCATACATGGATATTTATACGCAACTGATAGACAACTATAGTTATCTGAGCCATCAATTCAACAGTAACATCCTTACTACGAAACTTGAAAGTCCTTGGTACGGTCTCTGGTAATATCATAGGCGCGCAATTCTTATAAGTCCCATACTAAGATGAAAAGGCTATTTAGTGATTTTAATTTCAGTCATTCTTAGACTGATATTAGTCCCTGAGGAATACTACCTTAGACCAATAAATTCCTCTCAAACCTCCAAACTGAATTCTCGTTAAAACGAAATCGTAATATCACTTTGCGCAAGCTAAACTCATGGGATGCTATATTCATGTTGGTGATTAGCAGTGAAATCCAATACGTGTGGTCCGACGTGCCTCAGTGGCTTAGTGGATAACATTTCCGCGTTTGAATTGATCAGCAATGGGTTCGAGTCCCGGTGGGAACAACATGCACTGTAGTGGGGTGCACGCATCTGATGAGTCCCAAAGGAATGAAACACGTGTCCTTGACCCCATTGCTGGTCTCAGGATGAATATAACATGACGGGTAATTGGACAGTACAGAAGCATCCCGATAAGACCCAATCTGCCAGCATAGGTTCAGCAGTTTGCCGCTTGAGACTATTCAAAAATATCATGCTTCTCTTCGATCATTTCCATAGATGAGCAGTTTTAAAGGAGTTTTTCATGTAGATTATCAAGCATCAGTACCATGCAAAATTGTCAAAAAGTACAAGAGTATGCTGCTGACATATCTCCCTTGGTGAGTGACTCCTTTTTTCGGCCTCAGACTTCAGTTGCCTACTGAGTATAATCCTTGCATCCATTTCACTTTTCTTGGTTCACTTGTTATTTGTTTTCATAACTTATTTCTTATCTGAAATGATAACCCCCAAGTTCGAGTCCTATAGGGAACACTATCACGATAATTCATGACCATTCAGTCTGTAAGCCTCAGTTAGTGAACAACACATGTATTTCACAGTTAGCTACTAACAAGCAGATAACACTATCTTTCTATGAATACAAGTTGTTTAGCTATACTAGTTGAACTTGGTCATTAAACTCCCTAAACTCAACTTTACACGAATGAAACTGCTATTTTCACTGACTAGATCATTGAAATATGGCTATGAGTGGAATTTATAGATCCAGATGGGTTGTTACTCATCTATTTCAGTAGTATATTCGATTATTTCAACTTACGTTTGGTAACTCCACAGGTGAATACGATTTAATTTAATTAAAATTCTTTCATTTATCCCAGCTAGAAAGTAATATTTACATGTCATTGATGCGTTATAAAATTGTGGATAATTTGGACTGAAAAATTTCCCATTTGTTTTAGAGTATAAAAATAATCCTTCATTGTTTTGTTGATCAGTATTGGGGTAGTGTGGTGGTTGCACACTTTCATTTTGTGTTCCATATGATGAACTGAAAAATATTCGGTCGCATTTTGTTGACTTAATCGGGAGTCCATCACTTCGATATGCATCTATTGAAGAGAAAGTAAGATAATGATGGGAAGGTTAACATTTTTGTCCAGAATTACACCAACGATGCTTACCTGTATGTCAAATTAAAAGACCAGCTTAAGCATTTGCAAGGAATGAATATCCATGAAAGTAAATGTCAAGTTTCACTCTCTGCCCTATTCAGGAAAAAAACTGCTTAAGTCACTCAGCCTAACACGGGGTGGTTACATAGATCTGACCTCAGCGATGAAATTACTATTCAGCTAAGCGGATGCTTCATCATGAACCTCAAAACCACATAATTGATAGGTGTATACCACACTGTTTTTACCAGCTTACACATGTGAGCGGACATCAGTTTACGGAGGAGTTAACCGATTGAGCAAATGATTTCTGTGTGGGGTGGGGGTGGAATATACACCTAAATATCGTCAGAAGCAACTGAAATTTTAAACCTTGGTAACAGTAGGAAGGGACGTGAACTTTTTTCATCCATAGCTAAATAAAGTAGTGTCACGGAATTAATATACAAAAAGCTTTTTACATGTGATAGGGGGTGCACATTCAAACATACAGAAACGATAATAATCCATAAAATTAGTCCCCTTCTTATGAATAAACATGTGTTCGTACTATGAACTTATCGCAGCAGTCACAATTTGATATCATTACAGGAAGAGGCGTCAAAAAGCGTAGTTTTTCTTTTAATTTATTGGTCAAATTCCTGGGTTCTGTAGCTCAGTTGGTAGAGCACCAGACTGGTAAGCCGGAAGCCACTAGTTCGAATTGTAAACCTGCCTAACCTTTCAGTTCACCTTTAACTATCACCCAAAACTAATAAATTCCTTCTTATAAAAAGTGTCTTATTAAACCTTGTATTTTCATTCTTAAATAAACCGCCTACTGTAAAATAACAAGGACTCGGAGGCTACTGGATCTAATCCTGCCGTAAAGCAGCTTTTAAGTGACCTTCGGTTATTACTCAGTATTCAAGGGGAGAAATTTGAACACAGGGAACTGATTAGTTACGCTCAAATTCTGCAACAAGATGTCCCAGAAACTCGTAACAAGCTCTACATCGCTGAAGCTTTTCATGGTCAATCAGTTCACTCCCAAGTGTGGAGATGACGCAGGTCATCATATGAATTCTTGTCTAAATATTGTACACAAATCAATAACCAAATGATTATTATACTCCTATTAACTTTTACTCGCTCTGAAGATTTAGCCGTCAGGCTGAATAGTGAAATCTCTAGGAGGACAGAGAATAGAAATGCAGACTAATTGTCATGGATACTATGTAATTGGCTGATTGATGGAGTTCGTGCCCAACCTTGCTAAATTACATACTATTAAGACCAAATTGTAACATCGCCTGGTTAACTAGTTCACTGGTTACTAGCCGGTCCTAAGCTTGGTTAAAGGGGGAAGGTTCAACATAGGGCAAGCAATCCTACACCGTAAAACGAATCCGACCGCTACAAAAACATCAAAGCACAAAATATAAAAAATAAAAACAAACTTATTCCTCGCTGAAATCCAATCGGGGAGACGAAATGACACCGGTTGTTGAAAGCCTTCAACAAGCCAATTGACAGACATATCTTCCCTTCTCTCTATGAAAGTGAAAGCAAACATGGGGACATGGAATGTTCACACAGTAATGCTTGAACCTAGCAAGGCTGCCCACATTGCAAACGAGATGAGATGTAGCATTGAAGTGCTAGGAATCTGAGAAAGCAGGTGGAATGGGAGTGGACTCTCCAAACTATCAACTGGAGAATCAACAACCTACTCCGATACTGTCACCCAGACGACAACCACGAGCACACTGAGTTATGGAGTGGTTATCATGATGCCCACCTCCCAAGAGCATCGAAGGCTCTCTCTCATGCAGTGGGAACCAATCTCCTCCTGCGGATCAGGATCATGACAGCAAGATTCAGCTCAAAAGGAAGGAAAGTCACAATCATTTAATGCTACACTACACACTTACAAATAATGCAGATGAAGAGAAGAAGGAGGAATTCTACAGACAACTGCAATCAACACTGGACAAGACCACACTCCAGTTGGCGACATCAAAATTCCAATGAGTGACATGAATGCCAAACTGGGATTGGACAACACAGGAAGAAAACTAATCATGTGTCGAGAAGCACTCGGCGAATTGATGAATGAGAATGGAGAACTGTTTGCAGAATTCTATTCATTCAACGACTTGGTGATTGGAGTGAGGCACTCACTGTGTTCAAGCACAAGGATATCCACAAAGCGAGTGACATGGATTTGATTTCACCAGACACCAGGACACACTACACTAAAAATCTGATCGACTTCATCTCAATGTGAAGAAAGTGGAGATGCGGCGTACTGGACACAAGGTCAAGAAGAGGAGCAGATATAGGCTCAGACCACTCACCATCTAGTGCGAGGAACTTTCCAAATCAAGTTGAAAGCCTTCAAGTAAGTTGGTGATAGACAACAATTCAAGTTCAACACCCAGGACACAGTCTGAAGGAAGAAACTACAGGGGACGTCAGTCATCAGGACAAAATGAGAGATATCGAGCAACATTCCTGAATAAACCTGTGTAGATGAGCACTGTAACTCTTTGAAAGCTATGTGGAAAGAAACTTGTATAAGCTTATTAGGAAGGAATAAGAAAGATGTGGAATGGATCTCGATGGACACATGGAAACTGATAGAGCAGGGAGAGGAAGATGGTGAAGATGAACCAGTGCAAGGATGCTCAAGGAGAAGAGGAACTTAGTACAGCGTATAAAACGCTACACTGGACAAAGAGGTTAAGAAGAGTGCGCGCAAAGACAAAAGAGACTTCTACGACACACTTGCAAGTGAAGCAGAACAGTCTGCTGGTAGGAGAGGCAGAGACCTGACAATATTATGTCACATAACCAGGTTACCATCTGGGACGGAAGAGATCAACACAGATGAAACCAATAAAAGATGATCAAGGAAATCTATTTACCAAAGAGGAGAAATAAACGAAATGTGGGCTGACCACTTCAAAAGTTCGTGATTCACCCAAAACCTGCACTTCGTCCAGAAATACCACCTACAGCCGCTGAACTACAAGTGAACACAAATCCTCCAACAAAATTCGAAGTCGTGAACTCTGTAAGGCTACTGAAATCCGGAAAGCAGCAGGACCAGATAGAATCCCGCCAGAAGCACTGAGAACATACTCAGGGTCAACAGCAGACATGCTAAAACCACTGTTTCAGAAGGTCTGGAAGGAAGGAAAGGTACCTGCAAACTTATTGGGAGAAAGGCTACCTCGTGAAACTACCGAAGAAGGGTTACCTAAGTGTTTGCAAGAACTGGCGCTGAATCATGCTCCTGTACACCATAGCAAGCAAAATATCAAGCTGCATCATCCTGGAGAGACTAAGTATGCCCTGCATTCAAACTACGACCGGAACAGGCAGGCTTAGGAAGTACAAATCATGTGTGGACCAAATTACATCTCCACACATCATCAAAGAACAGAGTATAGAATGGCAGTCAACTCGACTCTACCTCAACTTCGTCGACTTCGAAATGGCCTTCGACAGCGTCTACCGACAAGTAATTTGGCAGGCAACTGCTTCAGCACTACGGAATACCACAAACCTTTATCAGTCTCACTCAACAACTATATGCAGACACGACATGCCAAGTAATTCACAATGGGGAGCTCAGTGATGCCTTTGAAGTGAAGACAGGAGTAAGACAATGCTGTCTACTATCACCCATGATCTTGCTGATTGTGGTCGACTGGATCATGCAGCAAACAGTGAGGAGCGGGAAGAGGGTTACACGCTAGCTGAACCGGGGAAAAGAGCATAGAAGATTTGGATTTCGCCAATGACTTGTGTCTTATGTCTTGTCACACAAACTTGAAGATCTACAGGCGAAAACTAACAAGTCGACAGAAGAAGCAGGGCAGCGAAGATGAGACTTCAAGTGAATATAGAGAAGACAGTGATGGTTAAGATACTCAACAAATACCATCACCACCACCAACAACAACAACAACAACAACAAGCTCCTATCACCATCAACGGGAGGAACCTTACAGAAATAGCCTCTATCACCTATCTGAGCAACACTGTCTCAACTACAGCCGGCACAGATGATGACATCGAAATCAGTATCGGAAAGACAACAAGACAGGAGTTCGTTAACCTGAAACCAATCAGTGTGGAGATCTTCTGCACTCAGCATAAAGCAGGAACAACATACTGATTTTCAACACCAGTGTAAAGTCAAGTCAGTGCTTCTATATGGTTGAGAGACTTGGCGCGTTACGAAAGGCATTCCCAACAAACTACAGACATTCATCAACGAGTGCCTACGCTGACTCGTTACTGAAGCTCAGATGGCCAGAATAATAAGAATAAGCAACAAGGAACTCTGACTGGCTGGCTGGCTGGCTGCAACGAACCAACTAAGAACCTATCACTCAACAAATATGCAGTTGAAGTAAGTGGAGATGGATTGAATCTACACAGAGAAGGTCGACTGTAGACATCATGCTGCAGGCCAGACACTCGAGTGGAACCCAGAAGGGAAACGATGAGTTGGGTGTTTTAGCCTAGGGTTGCATGGATTAGATGGTGTGAGGAAGAAATGAGAGCTTGTGGGCAGTCGTGGAGCCAGGATGAAAATATTTCAGAGAACAGAGTGCAGTGGAGGTGTGCTACTGAATCCGTATATTTTACTAGGAACCCAAGGGACAAACAATAATAATAATAATATAATACTGTCGATATTTGGCTACTTGCCAGACTTTGTTTAGGAAGTAACAACTTTACATATGTATAAAACACGTAATCCTTGATGATGATACTTTTTCCTATGATAACGGCGTATTAAATATTTTACTGAATATCAGTCAAATGATTATAATAACAATAATTGTAGATTGAAACATTTATCTTATCGTATGAAATTACAGCTAATTGAAATGAAGACAGTAGACATTTTTTAGTTATTTATGAGGAAGTTTAATATA